TTATAATTTAAAACAATAATAGAATAATTAATTTTTGATTGTCTATTTACAACGGAACTCTATGGGGTATGGAAATATATGTTTTTTTTTTCTCAGTTGTAATGCGAAAACAAGGTCATAAGTTATTATTAGATAGTATTTTGTGATATAATCTATAATTATTTTGTATATTATCGTATTCTTTAAAGTACATACACATGTATGTATGTCAGGTCTCGTCTACCTTGGCTGAAACGATTCATGTATGGAAATCGAAATTAAACGGTAAATACCCTTGGTGAAAATAGATTGTAAATGAAATCGTCATATACGACGACCCATTATTTGGTCCAATATGTTAAGAAAATATTATTAAAACTTAGTGAAAGGGACTTGATTTTTCTCAATTCAAAAAATGTATATATATATATATGTGTGTCTAGGATATCGTAAGCCCCCCATAAAACGGTACCTCCCGATATTTGGTATTTCGATGATTTTAGTCACAATTTTTAATAGCATTGTCTGAAATTCTACACCAGGAGTTTTTTCTGCGTTCCCCTTGGCCCCATATAACGGTACCCCCCGATTTTTGGTACTGATGATGATTTTAGCGACATTTTTTACCGGAATTATCTTAAATTTTGTATTAAAAGTTTGAAGCTCGTTATGAGTAATACAACCTATGAAGGAAAATTATCTATGCAGGTCCACGTCTTCGTATAGCCTACAAAAAAAATTGGTATTTGTAGGTCCGGTTTTGTATAGCCCCCATATAACGGTACCTCCCGATATTCGGTGTTTTGTTGATTTTTGCCTCATTTTCCCATGGATTTTTACTTTTACATAAAAATGTTTTCTTTTCCTAAGGGTGGGGGGTAGTGAAAGTTCGGCCCTGCCGAATTGATGTTTTTTTTTTTTTTGAAGGCAAATTCGAATTTTTTTTAATATCACTTAGTAGCCACACAAGCTCGATTGAACTTTTTTTCAACAGATTGCATAATCGAAGTTAGAGAGATGTAAATCTTTAGTACTTGTAAATGCACCTGTAATACACATTTCTATACCCACCTCTATATAACGAGCCTATCACCAAAAGGGACCCCAATACATAATTTTGAAATGCCAACTTCATCCGTTCGCCCTAAACCAAACTGTACCAAATTTAGTGCACTTAGTAGCATTTAGTACTTTTCGTCCACATAAGTACAAATTTCGAAATATTCCTCCGTATATCTATCCTCCACACTCTGCCAGTACTAAATTTCAGGATTCCAGCTCCCCTCCTACAAGTTAAATTTGTACTAAACTTCTATTCTACATCGACTCTACTCCTCAACCTTGATTTCCATTCCAAATTCCAAATCTTTATCTCTAACATGATACGAAATGATACCAAATGTAGTACATTTTAGTACTTTTTGTACATTTACATTGTGGATTTCCATATTTCTGAATACTTTTCGTACATTTCCAAAAATGCTACCTTATCTGAGCTTTTCAAACCAAGAGTGAACCTCACCCATAATTTCAAGATTCTAGCTTTAGTCGTTTCGTCTGGGCATTGTCAAAGGATCAGGGGTTAAAATTGTGAACATTCATGAAGCTCATAAAACAGACAATTAACATGCGATTCCATTCAGAATGAGTACTTCTCAATATTTCTATCAACACAAGATCTGTTATAAAAATTATAGAGATCGGATCATTCCTTGTGTTACCTCACCCACAGATGGTCAAAATTGTTAATAACCAAAATGATTATCAAATCCAAAATAAGTATCCGGTTCTCTTCAAATTACTCATATCACAAAATTTTTACTAACTTAAGGTCTGGTGTGAAGATGGGATATATCGGTCCACTAATTCTGGTATCTCTCCCACAAAGGGTCAACATTTTTAATATCCATGAAGCACATAAAACGCGAAATTACCATACAATACCATTCAGACTTGACACATTTTAATATTTTTTATCAACACAAGCTCTGTTTTAAAGATGTTAGAGATCGGACCATTCCTTCTGGTATCTCCCTTGCAAAGGGTCGAGGTTTTTGAATAACCAAAACGATCATAAAATCCGAAATAAGCATCTGGCTTTATTCGAATTACACACGTCACATCTCAATATTTCCCTCAACACCTATAAAGATGATACAGATCGGATCATTTGTTCTGGTACCTCCCCCACATAGGGTTCAAGATTTTTAAAAAATAAAACGCTCAAAGAAAGCGAACTAAGAGTCCGACTCTTTTCACATTTCACACACACACAAACATTTTTGTTAACACAAGATCTGTTGTGAAGATGCTATATATCTGCCAACCCCTTCTAGTACCTCACCCACAAAAGGCTCACAATTCCAATACTTATATCTGTCATAGCTTGCGAAACAAGATGGCGATTCTTCACAACTTGCTATATCTAAATATTACTCTTACCCAGAAATCTGATATGAATATAGAATTTATAATTTCGCATAAAATTAATATTTTTTCGGTGTTGAATGAAGTACGAAAGTAGAATACTTTGGTCGACACATATCTCGTATAAAGTGAAGGAAGTAACCAATATTGTCCGAACCTGGCATGTCGCAATATTTTAATCGCATTTATTTAGGTTCGATGCGAAATTGACAATATTGGCCCATTCCTTCGGAACCTACTCCATAGAGGGTCAACAATTTGAATAATCATAATAGAAGTCAAAACATTGTTCTGTTCCCAAACCTGCGCGAATTTACTTTGATTTTGCAATTTTTTCGATGTCATAAAGTTCCATATTCTTGTAGTTCGGAAATAGAGCACATATTTAAATAATCGAACATTGGCTCAGGGTATATATCTGTCGGAAAACCCGACTGATACTTTTTATACCCTCCACCATACTATGGAGGGTATATTAACTTTGTCATTCCGTTTGTAACTCCCCGAAATACTCATGTCAGACCCAACAAAGTATATACGGGGTTGCCCATATTCGACGGACCCATCTGGCAACGCCATAACTTTTGACAGAGATGTCACATCGCTTAATGACATACCGCGTTTGAAGCGTCAGTTCAAGCAGATTTTTACCATGAACCAATACACGCGAGCGCTCTGAAATAGTTGAAATTTACATTCAACAGAAGAAGTCAATTGTGAGAACTCAACGAGCTTTTAAAACATTAAAAAATGTGAGAAGTGCGCCTTCTAAGAACACCATTAAGCGTTTATGCGAAAAATTTTCGACTGGTAAGGCTCTTTCTAATCCGAAGAGGCCATATAAAAGTCGACCAAGGCGATCGGCCGAGAATATCGCTGCCGTACGAGCCAGTGTTGAGAGGTCCCCAAGAACATCCCAAAAACGCCGTTCTCAGTAGTTGGGCATGGCTCGGTCAACTTTACAACAGATTATTCGCATTGATTTGCATTTTTTCCCGTACAAAATTCAATTGACGCAAAGAATGTTGCCTGCGGCAAGCCTCGTCGATTGGAATGAACATGGGTCCGTTGAATATGGGCAACCCTGTATATTCTTGATCAGCGTAAAATTCTAAGACGATTTAGCCCTGTCCGTCTGTCTGTTGTAATCTCGCTATCTTTCGAACGAATTGAGATAGAAGGCTAAAATTTTGCACACATGTTTATATTTCCAGTAGGCAGGTTAAATTCGTAAATGGGCTATATAGGTCCACGTTTTCATATAGCCCCCATATAACAGTACCTCCCTATATTCGATATTTTGATGATTTTAGCGACATTATTAACCGGAATTGTTTCAAATTTTCTATTTGAAGTTCGTAATAGATACTACAGTCTATAACAGAAAATTGTCTGTGCAGGTCCACGTCTTCGTATAGGCCCCACATATCAGTACCTCCCTATATACGATATTTTGATGATTTTAGCGTCATTATTCGCCGGAGTAGTTTTAAATTACATATTTAGAGTTCGTAATGGGAACTACAGACTGTGAAAGAAAATTGGCAATGCAGGTCCAGGTCTTCGTATAGGCCTCATATATCAGTACCTCCCTATATTCGGTATTTTGACGATTTTAGATACAATACAAACCGAAATTGATGTGGTATTTGAAGTTCGTAATGAATGCTACGTATAGGCCCCATATACAGGACCTCCCTTTATTCGGTAGGTACAATACCCACCGAAATTTTTGAGATGTCGTATTTGAAGTTCGTATTGGATGCTACAGCCTATGACAGAAAACTATCTATGCTGGTCCAGGTCTTCGCACAGCTCCGATATAACGGTACCTCCCTATATACGTTTATTTCAAGTTTCTAATTTGAATATGGTAATGGCTTATGATAAACAATGTCTATGTAGGTCCACGTCGTATAGACCCCAATAGAACGGCTATATTTGGTATTTTTAAAATTTTAAAGGAATTTTTTTAAGATTTTATTTTTTCCAAAATTCCAAATTCGTTCCAAATGGTGGAGGGTATTCAAACTGCTTTTTACTTGTTAACTTGTTCAAATAGATTTTTGGCCAAAGAGTAACGCCTTTAATAGAGTGGAACGCCCTTGTAAAAATAATGGCTTATTAATCCAATTTGAAATGGGTTTTTTCTGGGCCATTACACACTAACTCAAAAGATATACTGGCGGACATGAAAGATCAACTCCAAATGTTGTGAAATTTAAATTTTATGTGAGATTTAAAAATATTTTTGATAACATTATTTGACAGACTGTAGTCCTTAGACTAAGGGGTGAACAAATTGTCCAGCTCAAACCCGGTTTGTTTTACATCAGCTGATTTACAAATGGAAAAATCAGGTTTACGAATTTTATGCGATGGCCATTTGACCGAAATATTGCACTGCATATCAAATGTTAATAACTTGTTTACTTTTGTAAAATAATCAACTTTAAAAACGATTTTTTCACAAATTTACAATGAAAACTGAAAATTTTTAATAAAACACTTTTTTTTTGTTTTCAACACTCAATTAACTTGTTCACTGTTTTTTTTTTTTTAATTTTTAAAATATTTTTATAACACACACATACTTTTTCTTTTATGGCCTGAAAATTTCGCACTCCTTGTGTAATCCAAAATCGATCGATCCTTTACGAATTGAATTCAATGTAACTTGAATTTTTTTCAAACACCTGTATTTGTTTGTTAATGTAATTCTAATAATTGCCGTTATTTTTTTTTTAATTTACTTCTGTTCTGAACCGTACTCGAAGAGTGCTAGACACGAACTGCTTTATTGGAATTATTTAATTTTGGCTATATCTGATCGGAGGCCAAATGGAAAAAAAAAAAAATTGTGAAAAAACGACTTACATCGAATTAAACGTTGGGGCAAGTGCAGCAGCTGAAGTTGCCGTTTTGCTGCTGCGGTTTTTAGTGACTAACAATAACAAGCTTTAGTGAATACTTAGCTACATGTGCACATATCTCGACTCAAAGATACGTACTTACCCACTCACACACACACACTCGTTCGCACATTCATCTAAGCTCAGCCCAGACAAAGTAATTGAATTGAGCCATACATAGATACCCGAACTAAGTTTAAAACAATTTAGTCTTAGATTTTTATAAAAATATATATTTCCGTATGTCTAGGTGTCGCAGTGTCTGTGTGTGTGTGTGTTTTGTTGTTGGTGACGGCGTTGTTATTGCCGTTGCTGCTGCAAAGACAAGTCTTAACATTTACGTCGAGTCCAAGAGGTTACACTAAAGTTGAATTATTTTGCAATTCATTCAAAACTAATTTAGAGAATTAAAAATAGTTGGCACTCTCGTTTTGAACGCCAACGAGAATATGGTGAAATAAATTTGAAAACCTTTTTGAGGTACAGTCCAAGTTTGAGGTTGGAGAGAAAACAAGTAAAAAAGCTGTAAGTTCGGTCAGGCCGAACTTTGAATACTCTCCACCATTTGGTACGAATTTAACAATTTTCAAAAAAAAAAAAATAAATAAATAAAAGGATTTTAAAATTCTGTTAAAATCATGTAGCCTTATATTAGAGTCTATATGGCGACGTGGACCTGCATAGGGAGGTATCATGGTGGTTATAAAACGTGGATCTGCACAGAAAATTTTTTGCTATAGGCTGTTATATCGAACTTCACGAACTTCAAATGCGAAATTTGAAACAATTCCGATAAAAATTGTCGCTAAAATCATCAAAATACCGAATATCGAGGGGTACCGTTATATGGGGGCTATACGAAGACGTGGACCTGCACAGCCAATTTTCTGTCATAGGCTGTAGCATCCATTACGAACTTCAAATACTAAATTTGAAATAGTTCCGGTAAATAATGCCGCTAAAATCATCAAAATACTGAATATTGGGGGGTACCGTTATATGGGGGCTATACGAAGACGTAGACCTACATGGCTTATTTTCTGTCTTAGGATGTAGTATCCATTACGAACTTCAAATACCAAAATTGAAGCAATTCTGGTAAATAATGTAGCTAAAATGATCAAAATACCGAATATCGGGGGGTACCGTTACATGGGGGGTATACGAAGACGTGGACCTACATTGCCCATTTTCTGTTTTATGCTGTAGTATCTATTAAAAACTTTAAATACCAAATTTGAAACAATTCCGGTAAATAATGTAGCTAAAATCATCAAAATACCTAATATCGGCAGGTACAGTTATATGGGAGCTATCCGAAGACGTGGACCTATATGGCCCATTTTCAATACCAAAAGTCCTACAGACATAGTACACATTTGAGTAAAATTTTATTTCGTTCGAAAGCTACAGTGATTTCCACAGACGGACAGACGGACGGACATTGATAAATCGTCATTGAATTTTATGCTGATCAAGCATATATATACTTTGTGGGGTCTAAAATGTATATTTCGAGGTGTTACAAACGGAATGACAAACTTAATATACCCTCCATACTATGGTGGAGGGTATAAAAAATTTAAAAATATTTGGAGTTGGTAAAATTAAGTTCATTCGCCCTCTGTATGGCGGCTGAGTTAAGTAATCGACCATTTTTGAAGCGCGAATCCTATTTGACCAACTTTGATATTTTATAAAATCTCCACTCCATATCATCGAAGATCGTAAATTATATCTATAGTAATAAAAAAGTAAAGTAATACACTGACTGGCTGACCTAACGATTCATCATCAACGGCCAGACGAAACGGCTGAATCTTGAAATTTTGGGTGAAGGTCACTCTTGATCCGAAGGGGTCAAATAAGGCTGGTTTTTTTGAAAATTCTCACAAGAACGGTACGAAAAGTATTAAAAGGTAACAAATACAGGGTGATATAAAAAAACTGCAGCAAAGTCAAACGCCATAATTTTTAATTCTTTTTTTTTTGGAATTTTTTTGAATGAAACCAAAAAAAATATCGGAAATAGCATGAAAATTTAGAATAAGTTTAGATTTGTTCGAATTGGTCACCTCTGACATGAATTATGGCCTTCAAATGGCCAATAGAACCGTCACAAGCTGCCTGAATGTTGCTCTGTCGGTATTTTTGCCCATTTCCGGCGAAGCGCTTGCTCGAGGTGATCGACACTTTGGTATTTTTAACTGCCAACCTTTCTTTCCAAAACTCTCCAGATACAATAGTCCAACGGATTGGTATCCGGAGATTTTGATGGCCATTGTGCGCTGGAAATAAAGTGAGGAATATCATTTTGTAACCATTCTTGGGTGGCGCGTTCTGTGCGCGTTTTGTGCTGAGTCCTGTTGGAATGTCCAAGGTCAGTGGTCAAAATGTTTGCGTGCCCAAGGCTTTAATACACCCTCCAGAATATTTTCGCGATAATATTGGGCATTTACTATGATTGGGCATTTTATATGATCGATTAATACGAGCGGAGAGCGATCATCGGCTGTTATGGCTGCCCACATCATCACCATTGCCGGCGCTTGAGTCCTGGTGGCCGACCGAAGGTGCACATTTTCAGCTAATCTCTTTGGCAAATAATCACGATCATTTTGTTTGTTTACCATCTGCTGGACAACGAATGTTTTCTGATCGGAGAAAACCAAATTCGACAGTTCACCATTTTCGGCCAAGCGAAGCGAAGCAACTCCTTAGCGCTTTTGAGTCTATTTTCTTTCTGTTGCGGTGTGAGTTTTTGCACTTTTTGGAATTTCAATGGCTTACCCCGAGCTCATTTTTCAATATTTACCGAATGGAATATTGCGATATGTTCAGCTCACGAGCCATTTTTCGGCCACTGCGATGCGGGTTTCGAACAAGTCTCTTGTTTTCTTTTTGAATCATCTCTGCTGATGTTGCTGTTTTCTTCCGTCCACTTCCTTGATGTCGAGCTTCGCTACCAGTAACCAATCACGGTAACGAGCGATGGTACGAGACACAAAAAATTTATTCACATTTAAAGCCTGGAGTGCTCAAACGATAGTCACTTGTGGTTTTCCAGCCAATCACACTTGAATTCCATCACGAATAACTTTTTTTCTGGAAAATTCTCACCAAAATGCTTTTGTACCCTTGTAAAGACTATAATGAGCTGTCACTGGAATAATTTTAACAGCTGTCGGATTAGTGGCTTAGAAATGACAGCATTCTGAAATTGGCCGACCATGGTGATGGTGTGGGCCGCCATAACAGCCGATGATCACTCTCCGTTTGTATTAATCGACCGTGGCATCAGAACAAATGCTGAATATAATCGGGAAAATATTTTGGAGCGTGTATTAAAGCCTTTTGGACGCAGACCTTGGACATTCCAACAGGAGCACCCGCCATTCAAGAATGGTTATAAAATGAAGTTCCTCGCTTCGGTCTCGGTTTCGTTCGCCGTTAGAGAGCCATAATTCGCGCCAAAGGTGACCAATTCGAACAAATCTGATACTATTTTCGAAATCTTTGCTTTCATTCAATAATATCTAAAAATAAGTAAGCGAAGGCTATAGTCGTGCGGGGCCGACCATGTGATACCCTACAACACTACAATATGTTAGAAGCACCCCTATGTCCAAATCCATTTTGAAAGATTTCACTTTTGAAATTACGTCACAGAACACTGCCTAGATATTACCCTTAGCATTTTGACTAGGGATATTTGCCCAATATTTACGCACTCCGTCGTGCTGTTAGTTGTTGTGTTCTTCCCTGTCATTAAATCTCTTCTCAGGCGTGTCGATTGGCTTCAACTGTGTGATCTGGAATTTATTCTGTTTTTGGGTCATATCTTGCGATCATCTCCAAAAGCAAGAGGCCTCTCTGTGTCTCTAAATTTTGGACTCATCTATATGAGTTCGTATCCTTAAGTTTATATTCGTGACCTTTATAATGGCTGAAGAATCAGGGAAATTCTTAGATTTCAACCCCTAAATATATTGCGAACATCTTAGAAAACAATAGGCCTAGCCCTTCTGAGCCTAACCCTACCCTTGTGAAAATTTTCATAAGGATCGGACGATAATTGCAATCTGTACATATTATCCCAACCTGTGTTGTAAGGTGAACAAATATTACAAGATGTATATTTTAATATTGAAGTTAAACTGAAAAAACCGCATGCGATAAAAAATATAAAAACAAGTTAAAAAGTTCGGTCGGTTTTGCCGACAAATGTATACCCTCAGCCAATGTTCGATTATTTTTAAAATCTTTTGACTTCTAGTTTGATTGATCAAAAGTTTAAACCTTCATGCAGTTGGTTCCGAAGGAATTGGCCAATATTGGCCATCTCGTGTCGGACTGTGTTGTGTTAATGGAAATTTTCGGATGTACCAAGTCATGAATAGAATCGGATGTCAATTTCGCTTTTTATGAGCTTCATGGATCTTCAAAATTTTGAGCTTTTGTGGGGGAGGTACCGCAATGAGTGGACCGATATATCCCATCTTCACAACGGATCTTTTGTTAGTGGAAACAATGGGATGTGTGAAATATAAAGAGAACCAGATTTCGGGTTTTATAAATGTGTTGGTTATTCAAATCTTTGACCCCTTGTGGGGGAGATACCAGAAGGAGTGGACTGATATATTTCATCTTAACGTCAGATCTTGGATTTAGGAAAATATTGGAATGTGTGAAATTTTAAGACAGTCGGATTCTAACATCACATTATAATTATTCAAAATGTTTACCCTTTTATGGGGAGGTACTTGATGGGGTAGAACGATATTGTCCATTTTCACACCTGATCTAGCACTGACGTAAATATTAGGATTTGCAAAGTTGGAACAAAATCGGATTATCCTTTCTCTTTCTGTGCATAAAAAATATATTTTT